AAAAGCATACTCATGCCCTGGGAAGACTGAAGACCATTATTATGGGTCAAATTGTGTTGTTCAAACATTTGTACGTTGAATCTCAATTTTTTCGTTTTTGCATTTTTGAGATGGGCTCTCACTACACAATTCAAGCTGGCCTTGAACTCACTATGTAGGCCAAGCTGGCCTCAATCTTATGGCAATCCTCCTGTCTCAGCCTTCTAAGGAATGGCATTACAGGCATGCACTACCATGCCTGCTTTAAAGCATACATGTCAACAGTTTTTTGTAACCTTCATCATCTGACTCACCTCCTCCTCCTGCCCTATCTTTAACCACACACTGTAGCTCCACCAGCAAACACCATGCACAATTCTTTCAGCACATGCGATTTTTCACCTCTGGACCTTTGTTTCTGCTTTATCTCCCAGGAAAGCCCACTACCCTCTCCTTCTTGTAGACTCCTTTCAACCAGGTGTGGTTACACACACCTGTAATCCATTCTAGAGGGTGAAACTAAAATTGCAAGCCTAGGCTGTGCAATTTGGCAACTTTGGTATGGTGATGCATGCCTGTGATCCCAGCACTGAAGAGGCTGAGGCAGTAGGATCGGTGGGAGTTCGAGGTCAGCCTATACTACAAAATGAGTTTCAAGGCCAGCCTGAACTGCATAGTAAGACCCTGTCTCAAAAAGATAAAAAAAAAATTTTTTTTCCAGTAACTTAGTGAGACTGTCTCAAAATAAAAAAGGACTGGGAACATAACTCAGGGTGAAGGCCTTGGAGTCAATCCTCAATGCCGCCAAAAAACAAAACAACAACAACAAAACTCCTTTAAGAAGATGTAGTGGCTGCCTCCTCCAGGAAGCCCTCCCTACCATTCCTGCTTCCTGAGAACGGGATAGGTGCCCTCCTCTCTACATCTGCACACTGATTTCCTACTTCTAGCAACTGTACTTTGCCAAGACTTACTTCAAGTGCCACCTCTTCAATAAATGCTTTTTTTATCTTCTAAAAAAAAAAAAAAAGACCTCTCAGGTTAGGGATAGAGCTCAGTGGCACAGCACCTGCCTGGCACGTACAAGGTCGTAAGCCTGATTCACAGTACCAAAATAAATAAATAAATTCAATTAAAAAATTAAAAAGACCCCTCATAGAACTCTAATTTTCCTATGTAATTATCATATTGAAATTCATATTATTTGCATACATATTCTACAGAAGTAGGATGAAATAGGAACCAACCCTGATCCTGATTTATTCTTTGTGGTTTTTGGTTTTTGGGGACATGGTTTCACAATGGATCCCAGGCTGGCCTTGAATTCACAGTGACCCCCTACCTCAGCCACCTGCATGCTGGGGTCACAGGCTTGCACAATCCAGCCTACACAGCTTGATAAGTTCCTCCAAATATACTTGCACATAATGGTTCAGCGTTTATTGAAAGAAAAATGTTACATAATGTTTCAAAACACAAACAATATTATTCTGTCCTCAGAAATGAGACCTTTGTATCTTCACAGTAGGAAGCATTTTATAAATGCCAGCTGACCTATTAATTTTCTCATCACTAACAATCACATATTCTATTAAAATGTGCTTATTTTTTCAGAGCTCCTTCCACTTGGCAGACTCAAGCCCTGGATTTTATTTTCTCCATTCCAGTTCCATCAAATCATATAAACATCACAGCCACTTACAGATCACATCAACTACCATATTCTCCACACAGCCCCTCCCAGCCACCCCTCGGAAAACTCACTATTGTATGCACAAGAAGAGCAGGAATGGTAACCTACTCCCACATTATATCCACTGCTCTGCTGCTCCACAATCCACTTATTTAACAAGCACTCAGTAACTTAACTGCACATTTGTTGTATATACTCTAAGTCCAGACAAGCACAAGTGATGTCACTGGACTAGGGTATCTCTCCCAGCCCTTGCTCGTGTCCCTGTCATTGCACACTGCTACTCCGACCAAAACACACAATGCTTTGCCACTTCCTTGAATCTTTTTGCTGTTGTTTTTATTTTTGAGGCACATACGTGGACCAGGCTGGGCTAGAACTCACGACAATCCTCCCGCCTCAGCCTCCCAAGTGCTGGAATTATAGGCATGCGGCACCACACCAGGGTTCTGCCTTTAATCTGGGCTGGCTCCAATAAGCGACATCACAACTTCTGGGCTTTCATTGAGCTTTGCAACTTCTATTTTTGCCCACTGGGATGAAGCCTCTATGTAAAGAAGTCTGGACTCAACTAGTGAGTAATGAAACCACAAGGAAAAAGGAACTGAGGCAACCCACTATGCACCTATTGCAATCTCAAATATTGTATACAGTCATCCAAGTATCGTATCTCTTTTCCAGTTTTCCTCAAAAAGTTACATGTATAATCCCATTGAGACGTTATTGGAATCCCAGCAAGTTAATTCTAATCTACCACATCTGATGCAACCCACAGCAAGAGTAAAGACACCAAGACATATTTCAAATTAAGGGCAGCAAAGGATCCTAAATCTAATCCCTGTGAAGATGTGCAGACAAAGGCCCTGACCCTAGGCCTCTCCCAGAATTTATCTTGTGAAGAAAGGGGGTGGCTGAGGGATGAGTGACAGTGAGGATGCGAGTATTACCAGTAACTTGAGCTGGCTGGCCACGTAGGGAGAAAAGCATCTCTGCAAAATTCAGCTTCTGATATGTAAACTTTTGTGCCCTGGGGAGTCACAGTGTCTTTTACTTGAGGCTCATACCCAGTTGACATTCCCGAAGCTAATGGTTCTAACATCACACTGTGCTCATATCTTTTAGAGGGCACTATGTGAGGAAACAGAGGTTGTCTGATGGCTTATAGAGATTACGTATCAATACCTCAGCTAGCCTTATTTGCAATGCTTAGAGACAATTGAAGAGATAAAGAAATACCATAACCAGCTCTCTACATATCATTGTAAGGAAATAAGTCCCCATAAAGTCAAAGTTGCAGCAATTGTCCCGCATTCAAGGGGAGACACAAGAGTTGGCTCCCACAGCACCAAAAGTGGGTGAACAAATTTTGGCCATGCTGGCCCAAAGCAAGCTCACAGCTGAACACAACCTCCTGCCTCTCCAACTCACAACAAATGGGGCAGAATCAATCAGCTGAGTCCAGTTAACTTCCAGAATATGAATCGATACTTGTTTTTGGTAATTATTTTTCAGGATGGACTGTTTTGCAACAGAAATCACTGCACTAAGTACTTACTTTAAAGGATTTGAATCACTGATTCCTCTACTTTCAAACCCCAACTCTATCTACAAGTACTTCCTCTTCTTTATTTTATTTTTTTTGTCTTTTTCATTTTCATTTTTATCGGTACCAGGGATCGAACTCACGACTGCCTGCTTGCAAGGCAGGCGCTTATGCCGCTGAGCTAAATCCCCAGCCCCCACTTCCTCTTCTTTAATTTCAAAAATTCCTTTAAGGACATATATTTTCATTCAATTCTTCAGATTTCATTAGTGTATATATTTACTAAACCCTATATATACATATTTTCTTTCAGACTGGGTCTCACTAGGTCTCACTAGGTAACACAGGCTCAAACTCTCAGTCCTCCTGCCACAGCCTCTCAAGTGCTGGAATCAGGCATTTGTCACCACAGTTGGCTATACTAGTTTATGGAACACCATTTATTCCTAACACAATCCTAGAGGAAAAGGTCTGTATGATTCCTAACAGGATTTTAAAAACGAAGATTTGGGCTGGGGATTTAGCTTAGCATTATAAACATCTGCCTGGCAAGTGCAAGGTCAGGAGTTTGATCCCCGGTACCAAAAAAACAAAAAACCAGACTAAAACAAAACTAAGGTTTGTGGAAGTTAATGTATCTTGGATCATACACATAGAAAGATCAGAGTCTGAACTCAAACCCAGATCTAATTCCAAAGCTTTTTTTTAAACCTTTGCAGTGGTGGGGATGGAATCAAAGAGATGTTAGGCAACCGTTCTACTGCTGAGCTACATCCCTTAGCCAATATCCTTATCCATAAGTTATACCAGAGATTTGCTCGCATCAACCTCCAAAACCTTCCTAAAGAACACAAAACAGCTTCCAGTCATATAAAAGCTTTTCTTTTTTTGGAACTAGGGATCAAACTCATGAATTCATACTTGTCAGACACATGCTTATGCTACTGAGCTAAATCCCCAGCCCTATAAAAAATTTTTTTACAAGCAATGCATCAACTTAGTATGGTGGCCTACATTTATATAATCCCAGCATTTGGGAGGCTGAGGCAGGAGGATCACAAGGAGTTCAAGTCCAGCTTGAACTATATAGTGAGACTGTCTCAAAAACACAAACAAAAAAAAGGAGTATAAGCTTATGCATACACAGTAAATGTGAGAAAGATTTAAATATAAATTGAGTGTTTGTGTTTTTTTGGGGGGGGATGAGTACTAGGGATTGAACCCGGGACCTTCAATATGCTAGGCAAGTGCCCTACCACTAAGCTACATTTTCAGCACTGTTTGTCGTTGCTGTATAAATAATTAAAATTGGGAATTGGGAAACCTACTCAGGACCCTTCTGTCTCTCTGACAGAAGCTTTCTTTCTTGAAATAAATATATCCTGCTCTTAAAAAATTAAAATTTATCATCCATACAAGTGCCAAATAGGATAATCAGGTGGAAAATTTTCCTGCAGCTTGTTTTTGCTCCTCAGAAGCAATCATTTTCAAAGGGTTGGGGATGTAGGTCAGTGGTAGGATACTTGCCTAACATGTGCAACACTACAAAAACAAAACAAAACAACAAAAAAAACACTTGCAGTATATGAAGGGCCAGTGTCATAAAATGCCAACAATAAATTATTTTCACCAACTTTCTCTATTTTTAAAGGCCATAAATATAGACTAGAAAAAGCAAGTGATGAAGCCCAACTCTAAGACCCTAAGACTTAAGGATGAATCAGACTCCATACCCTACATGTATAAATACAAGTCCCTCTTAAGAGAAAAATAAAATGTGTGATATTAGATCCCAAAGCTCCATTTTATTAGCTTTCCTCATAGGGAAAAATCCTGTCCCTCTTCTCCAGGGAGTTAAATGTGCCTCTTCCACAGTTTTTCTTCTATCGGTACTTCCCACGACGATTAAAGTGTTTGTAGAGATAGCTGATACGTTTTTTAAGATTATGCAGGTCATCAATGAACATTCTATTTCCAACCATTTTCTTCTTTCGGATACATCGCTGTAACTCATTTCCCTTCCAACCTCGAAGCCATCTGGGGCCCCTGATCAGGTCTTTGGGGTGTTTTTCAAAGTCTCCTGCGTAATGTGAAGAAAAAACATATTACTTCCAAAACAAGAGAATTCAGCCTAGACCAGCTAAGGCTTCAGCCCACAGTTGTGTCTTCCTGAGCAGCACTTACAGATAAAACACATTATAGTGTCAAGAACACAGACTTCAGAGGCAGAATGGTTGGGGTTCAAATTCTGACACTATTTACTAGCTTTGAAAAGTTAACCTCTTGCTTCCCCAGTTTCCTTACCTGCAAAGTGAAAAGGTTATTATAAGAATTAAAACGATTGGTATCTACAGATACATTCAAAACGTAACAGTCAGACAACTGTTTGCTTTTACTACTGAGCACAGAACCGTTCCCTAACCAGGTAAAAAAGACAGTCTGGCTTTAACAGCCCTTCTGTAATTTGTACCACGCTAGAATCAAGCCTTACCTAGGATGCCGATGTTGTCATATACTCCAAACATGGCCCTCTTCTCGTTCCAACGATCAACCACTTTGGGAGGCGGCAGAGTGAGCCTTATACGGGACAATCCAGGAACACCTAGAGATGGGGAAGAGAAGGGATGACTCTGAGCTGTTACCAAGAAGCAGTTCTCAGACAGTCTATCTACAGAAGGCACTTACCCAGCGAGAAGTTTCTGCAAGCCAAGGTCACCAAGCCGCACAGGCCCCTACCAGCCCTCCAAAAGAGGGCCCCTGACATTGCCCTCGGCTAATCCTCTGAACAGCACATCAAATGAGCCCTAGAAAGTGGACCAGGTTTGGCCTTCAAGGAGATGACAGCGCGAAACTTCCCTGTAGCCCTTACACCGGTTTCAGCACGCGGGAAGCCATTTTGGATCTTACCCAGGTAGCTTTGAGCGTATGCCCCGCCTCCAAGTTCCGGCCAGCGGAGGCGTAGCAACCCGCCCACTCTAAACGCTTCCGGTCTGCACACAGGAAGTTTAGGAGTACTGGAAGAGCTGCGTACGTCTGTGGCCGCTGTAATGACTTCCCAAAACTGAAATTCAAAGAAAATTAACCCTTCCTCGTCCCCTCGAATTTCTCTCAACGGTGAGGGAGATGAAGGGTCAGCGTCTGGAAGGCAGAGTTTTGGAGTATTCAAAGAGCAAGCCCTTTTGTCTGCTACACGACAGTAGTGCGCTGTTTTTTTACTACTCCCATTTTGCAAGGGAGTTCAGTATCGTGCTATGCGACACTAAGCGGAGATGGGAGGAACTGGATTAGAGCACAAGCCTTCTGACTTCCAGCTTGGACTTGCCTCTTGTTCTGGGGATACCTGAGTGGGTCACTGTCCCAGGGGCAGAGCCAGGTGCTCAGCTAGAAACGGGACTGCTCTGGCCGGGAGTGCTTAGAGTCTTGCCTCCTCTGCCCCGGGCTAAGGAGCCGGAGGTGCTGGAGGCACCTAGGAGGTGCGAGGTTTGGGAGCCTGGGTTGAGATTCCGCCCATCGCTGAGAAAAGTTCCTGTGCTGTGATTGGCTGATCGCTTCAGCGAGTGACCCGATTGGCCCTTTACCAGCCGTTGGAATTTGAACTGTATGTTGGTGGTTTACCCGCGCAGCGCTTGTCTCAGAGACTGTCCTTGATCTCAGCCTGCCGCGGATTGGCCGGTTTCTCTGCTAACGTTGAAACAGTCTCGCTGATAGGGTCGTATTGTGCACTCGTTCTCTGCCCCGTTCTATTTTCAGCGGGATCCCAGCGTCTGAGGAGGCGCAGAGGTGTTCAGCTGCGGTAAGTTATTTGAGTGAAGGACTGAGAATATCGGGTACAGGCCATTGGACGCAGTCTTAGCAGTATGCAGTAGCAAGGGAGGTTTATTGGGTATATTCTTCTTCTTCTTTTTTTTTTTGTCTTTTTCCTTTTTTATCGGTACCGGGGATCGAACTCACGACTGCCTGCTTACAAGGCAGGCGCTTATGCCGCTGAGCTAAATCCCCAGCTCTATTGGGTATATTCTTGAGGTGCGGTGTGGTAGAATCTGTAAGTTTAACAGCTCTGGAATGGAATGAGTGTAATTCGGGCAAATCAGCTAGCCCTAAATTCCTCATCTGTAAATTGGGTTGTGGTATTACTATATTATGCACTCTGGGGTTTAAACGAGAATTAGATCAGATATGATATATTCAGATAGCCTAACAGAATCCGACCCAGAATGAATAAATAATATTAATGTCCTCCATTCTGGAATCAGGAAACCCACCAGCCCAGGTCAGGTTACTGCTCTGGCCTCAGGTGAGACGTTCTCGACACTGAACCTTAGACACTGATGTGTTGCCTTACAGTTCTTTAACATTTTACAACCCTGTTGACCATCTGCTCCTCAGCAACTTTGTGATCAGAGATTAGTGACCTTATTTAGCTGATGAAGCTGAGGGGTTAAGTGACCTGAACAAGTAGCAGAGTTATGACAACAGTTGGATTATAGTTTAGAGTTGATATCACATCTTGTAAGATAATGTCATCAGCTTTTAAGATTAAAATCATATTGGAAGTGGGGCAATAATGGAGTCAGATTAAATGAGAGATCTTAGATTAGTCCCTAACTCTTGCTGTTTGGTTTCTAGTCTGTGAGCCAGTGGTAGAAAGATGTCTCCCCAGCTGTACGAGTTCCATCTGCCTTTATCCCCAGAGGAGCTGCTGAAAAGTGGAGGTGTTAACCAGTATGTTGTACAAGAAGTGGTGTCCATTAAACATCTGCCATCCCAGTTTAAAGGTGAGACTCCACAGTAACCATTGTACCTAGCATTTCAAAACAACCATGCCACATGTAACTACATTGCCACCTCTGTTCCACTACACTGAAACCCCTCTAGGGCGAGGAACATGTCTTTCTTGTTTCCCCCTTTTTTCCTAACATCAAATAGTATTCATGGCAAAGAAAATACTTGTTCCCTGCCTTCTGTGGATTATTTAATAAACAGTCTTGGTGAGCATGAGTAATCTTTGGGAGATACTTTTTTTGCTGTCTACTCTAACCATATAATAAGTCCTGATAAATTTAAGAGATATAGGAGAAGGTAGCTTTCTTCAACTTTTTTTTTTTTTTTTTTTTTTTTTTTTTTTTTGTATTTTTAACAGTACCAGGGATCAAACTTACGACCACAGGCTTGCAAGGCAGGAGCTTATGCCACTGAGCTAAATCCCCAGCCCCGTAGGTAGCTTTCTTAATGTTTCAGACCTGACCTGGCCTTTTCTTAGGTAATTTTCTTTTTAGAATCTAGATATCTGGGCCAGGGACATAGGTCAGTGGTGTAATGCCTGCCTGGAAAGGTCCTGAGTTCAATTCCCAGTACCAAAAAAAGAATCTAGATATCTTGTTTCCAAGATGTGCATTGATTGAAAAACATACACAGTTGCAACACCATACAAAATAGTCATGCAGCACCTAACAAAGAGGATAAAGATATATGTGTTCTGAGAAGCTTGTTGTCAGGTGATTTTTTTTTGCTTTACATCATGGAGTATGATTGCACAAACTGGTTGATAAAGCCTACACATCCAGGTTCTGTGGAACACACTCTAGGACTGGGGATATAGAGCAGGAATAGAGTGCTTGTCTAACATGCATGGGGTCCTGATTCAATCCCTAGCACTGAAAATAAGAATAATATACTCTAAAATAATAGTTACAGTCATTTATTATCAGGTAGTATATACTGTGCCTAACTGTATATGCTGTACTTTTATAGGCTTACAATATAGTAGGTTTGCTTACACCAGGGTCATTATAAACACATGAGTAACAGGCTGTGCAACAGTGTTACAGTGGCTACAACCTAGCTAGGGGATAGCAATTTTTCAGCTCCATTGTATTGTAATATATGTGGTCCTTCATCTACTGAAAAAAACATGATGTGGCACAGGACTGTAGGTATAGTGTGAGTACCTTCTGAAAACTAATTGTCCTAAAATAACTTATGCATTGCTAATGAGACCCCATAATACCAGTGTACTTCTTGGAATCAGTTTGTATCCGATTTCTTTGGAAGAGTGTGTGTACACTAAAGACTGTAACAGACTGCCTGGTTTTGAATTCTGGTTCTACCATTTGAACCTTGGGAAAGTTACTTAATTGTCTCTGTGCCTCAGTTTCCTCATCTGTAAACACAGGGAAAAGTATATACTTCATTTGTTGGCTCTACAAGGAGGCCAAGTCAGTACAGCAGCTATGCTTTCACCTCTCTCCTTTTGGCACTTGCACCGCAGGGTCAGGTGGCAGCTTCTGGCTCTTAAGTCCAGAGTGGGAAAAGACATTTCCCTCTTGAGCTTTTGAAAGCCTCCCAGCAGATTTTAGCCAGAAGCAGACTGTGCTTATTCCTCTGATTCCTGGTAAGGAAAATGAAATTAGCCAGTTTAGCTAACCTGATCCAAGGTTATCACCAAGGAGCCTCCCTATCCTAAACATATCATCATCAGGCAGGCAAAAAAGAAAGCAGTGTGGAGGCTGACAGGTGGCTAGAGCCAGGTGTGGTGGCGCATGCTTGTAATCATAGCACTCAGGAGGCTGACACAGAAGGGTCGCCATGAGTTCGAGACCAGTCTGAACTACATAGTGAGACCCTGTCTCTAAAAAAAAGTCAAGATCATGAAAGACAAAGATGGCAGAAGACAAATTAGCAAAAAGTGCTTCAAACTGATGAGTTTCTTTCATCTCTGTAGCATTCCAGGCCGCCTTCCGAGCTCAGGGGCCCTTGGCTATCCTAGAACACTTTGATACTATCTACAGCATTTTACAGTAAGTAAAATACCCAGCTAGTGCCTTACACAGAACTGATGGCCCAAATTTGCATGCTAAGTCCTGAAATCCCAAAGTATAGATTCACTGATAAATGGTTCTGGGTGCTGACATTTCTCCTCATGAGCATTTATCTAACTCGCCACCATGTTTATTCAGTTGAACAGTTCACGTGTACTTGCAAACATTAGATCCTTTCAGTTAGCTCTGATCTGATGGAATGGGCGCTGCAGGTTCCTGTCTCACCCCCACACTTTCTTTCCCTCATAGTCACTTTCGAAGTATAGATCCTGGCCTCAAGGAAGATGCTTTGGAATTCCTGATAAAAGGTATTGATGGGTCAGGGGATTGGGGATGGAAAGTGTTGTTTGTATGTTTGTCCCATCTCCTATATTTTATCAGCCATGTGATGATACCAAGGCTGTTGTGATTCAGTCGGTCTGAGTAAGCCCGGGAACCTGGACCTGTTACGGTCTGTAATCTTGGTGGGTGATACAGAGTTATGTGCATCCACTGTAAGGCCAGACCAACAAAAACTTTTTCCTACTTTCAAATCACTTCTCTTTCGTAGGGGTGATCCTTCCAGTTGCCAGGGAGAAATTGTGCTAACTGGAATGAGAGTAGAAACAGGGCATGTTCCACGTTTCGATGGGGGTCAAGGTTCTCCAAGGACTTAGCTCTCTTATGGCCACTGAGAGATGAAACATAGATCTTTGGTAATCTGATGGCTGCACTGCTGGGTGTCCTGAGATTGGGTTGTATAAAGAAAGTGAATTAAATTAACTCCCAGATTCTGCCCCTTACAGTGGTATCCCGCCACTCCCAGGAGCTTTCAGCCATCCTAGATGATGCAACCCTGAGTGCATCAGATAGAAATGCCCATCTCAATGCCCTCAAGATGAACTGCTATGCTTTGATTCGCCTCTTGGAATCCTTTGAGATGATGACCAGCCAGAAAAGTCTTACGGACCTGGACGTGGGCAGGAAGGTAATTTAGGATTCCTGGCTAACTGTACAAGGGGAAGAAGGGAATTGTGGGAAAGAAGAAAATCCAGTGATTCTGAGAACAGTGCTGTCCTCAATTCAGGTTTAGAAGGAAGTACTAATGTGTCACATTTCCTTTCCTACGAGT